AGCCCGCGCCCCCCCCCCGCGACCCCGGGACCCGGGCCCGGCCGTGATGGCGGCGGTACCGGCGGCCGAGAGGCCCAAGACCTCCCCGAAATCCGTCAAGTTTCTCTTCGGCGGCTTGGCAGGGTGAGAGCCCCCCCCACACCGTCTCCCGCTCCTCCGCCAAAACCGGGATACCGCGATCCCGAACCGAGAATGCCCCTCCCGCACCCTTCTAAACCGCCCCCGGTGCCCGTCCTAACCTCAGACCCGCCCAAAACCCTTAACTTCCCTCGGTCCCCATCGCTACCCCCCACAGTCTCCCGCAAAACCCTTCCAGTGCCCCCCAAAGCCCCTTCAGACCCCCCAACCCTCCCATCACAACCAATCCTCCTCCAAAATCAACTCAAAATCCTCCTCCCAAAACCCCATCCAGTCCTCCCTGTGCCCGCTCCCCATAAATCCCTTTAAGTGCCCCCTCAAAGACCCCCCCAACCCTCCCATCATAACCAGTCCAACTCCAAAATCAACTCCAAATCCTCCTCCCAAAACCCCATCCCGCTCCCCTGTGCCCCCTCCCCATAAATCCCCGAAGCTCCTTCCGAGGCTGGGTGGATTTTTGGGGGGGGTGGGCTGTAATTTTGGGGGATCGCCCCCCCGACCCCGTTTCCTTTCAGGATGGGGGCTACAGTGTTCGTGCAGCCCCTGGACCTGGTGAAGAACCGCATGCAGCTGAGCGGGGCCGGCGCCAAGGGCCGCGAGTACCGGACGTCGCTGCACGCCCTGGGCTCCATCCTGCGCCACGAGGGGCTCAGGGGCATCTACACGGGGTACGGGCCCCCCCGGGACCCCCCTGAACCCCCCAAACCTGCCTGCCCCTGCTGCCCCCCCTGTACCCCAAAAGCTGCCAGGCTTGAGCTCTTTCCTGCCCCCCATTTTTGGGATTGCTCCCGTCCCCCTTGTGTCCCTCCAGGCTGTCAGCGGGGCTCCTGCGCCAGGCCACCTACACCACCACCCGCCTGGGCATCTACAGCGTGCTCCTGGAGCGTTTTGGGGGGGCTGACGGGACCCCCCCGCCCTTCCTGGCCAAGGCAGCCATGGGCATGACAGCAGGGGCTGCGGGGGCCTTCGTGGGGACCCCGGCTGAGGTGGCTCTCATCCGCATGACAGCTGATGGCAGGTGAGCCCCCAGCCCTCCAGAACACACCTGTGCCCCCATCCGCCTCCCCAGCCTGCTTGTTTTGACCAAAATGCCCTTTTTTTGCCCGGAATCCCAGGCTACCCCCCGGCGAGCGCCGCGGGTATCACAACGTGTTCGATGCCCTCGTGAGGATGGCCAGGGAGGAGGGGGTGCTCACGCTCTGGAGGGTACGTGGGGGCTCTGGGACCCCAGGATGCTCTTGTGACCCCCTGCTGCCCCCCCAGGGGGGCTGGGGTGTGCTTGTGCTCTGGGGGGGAGCTGTGCCCCCCAAAATGCCATCTTCCACTCCAGTGCTGTGCCCCCCAAAATGCCATCTCCCACCCCCGTGCTGTGTCCCCAAAGTGTCACCTCCCACCCCAGCGCCGTGTCCCCACTGTGTTTGGGGGCAGAGCAGGGTCCGAGGGGGCAGTGGGGATGCAGGGGGGCTGTGCCAGGGTCTGGGGGCACACAGCACCCACCCACCCACCCCGTTTCCCCCCAGGGCTGCATCCCCACCATGGCCCGTGCCGTGGTGGTCAACGCTGCCCAGCTCGCCTCCTACTCCCAATCCAAACAATTCCTGCTCGACTCCGGTGAGTTCAGGGCGGGTGGGGAACCCTAAATCCCGCGGGGGAACCCTAAATCCCCGCGCACACTCTCCCCTGGTTCCCCTTTGATGTTTTGGGGTGCCCCCAGGGCATTTCCGTGACGACATCCTGTGCCACTTCTGCGCCAGCATGATCAGCGGGCTGGTGACCACGGCCGCCTCCATGCCCGTCGACATCGTCAAGACCCGGTGAGTTCCTTTTTTTTGGGGGGGACCCCCTGCTCCCCTTCAGGTGGGACACGTGGTCACCCCACAAAACCTGTTTAACCTCTGAGTTCTCCCCGGCAGGATCCAGAACATGAGGACAATAGATGGGAAACCCGAGTACCGCAACGGGCTGGTGAGCGAGGGGCTCTGGGAGGAGACCCCTGCAATTTGGGGGGGCTCCTCTGGCATTCTGGGACTTCCCTTGCGACTGGCAGGGGGGTTTCATGCCATTTTGGGGGTGTTGCCTGGCTATGGAGGTGGGGGGAGAAATTCAGATCATTTTGAGGAGTTGCCCATAATTTTGGGGAGCTCCCTTGGTATTTTGGGAGGCTTCCCCATTATTTTGGGGAGGGGATCCCTGTCATTTTTGGAAGGTTTCTTATAATTTTGGGAGGATTCTCCATCATTTTTGGAAGGTTTCTCATAGTTTTGGGAGGATTCCCCATAGTTTTCAGTGTCCCTGTTACTTCAAGGCAGATTTCTATCCCATGGAAGGGCATCCCTGGGTTTTTGGGAGGTTTCTCATTATTTGGGGGGCCCCCTGACACCCTGCTGCCCCTCCTGCAGGACGTGCTGCTCAAGGTGGTGCGCTACGAGGGCTTCTTCAGCCTCTGGAAGGGCTTCACCCCCTACTACGCCCGCCTGGGCCCCCACACCGTGCTCACCTTCATCTTCCTCGAGCAGATGAACAAGTGGTACCAGCGGCTCTTCCTCAGTGCCTGACACCCCCGGGGGGGGGTCGGGGGGATCTGACCCCATCCCGTGGGCTCTGCAGGGCCCCTTGGACCCCCACTGAAGGGGCTTTGGGGGTGTCTGACTGCTCCCTCAGGTGCTGTGGGGGTGCCTGACCCCCCCAACACCGCCAGGGGCTGGCTCTGTAGGAGTGCCTGACTACCCCCATCAAGGCTATGAAGTGGTCCTGGGGTCCTATGGACGGGTCTTGGGCCCTGTAGGGCTGCATGACCCACTCCTCGGGGCTGCAGGGATCCCTGGGGCCCTGTGAAGGGGCCCTGGACCTGATGCAGGGGTGCTGGATCCCTCCCACGGGGACACCAGGTGATGCCTTGTCCCTGTGGAGACTGTAGGGTGCCCTCCCCCTGTGCTCCCATCCCACCCCTCTGGGGGTTTTGTTACCAGCTGATATCAAGGTCACAGTGTGGGGCAGGAGCCCCCCAAAATTCCCCCCGCCCAACTCCCTTCCCCCAGCACCCTCCACCCTGCGCTTCGTTAACGAATCATGGATCGTGATCATGTAATTAAAGCAAAACCCACAGACGTTGGGGAGGTGCTTTATGTCTGTCACACCGGGGGCTGGCTCTGTCACTGTCACCCCCGTGGCTGTGGCCTTGCCCCCTCGGGGACAGGGTGACAGCAGGGGACTCCAAAAGGCACAGCCCAGGGACATCCAGCAGAGCTGTTCATTGTCTCCCCCGCCAAAGTGGGGGAATCCTGGGGGGGCTCTCCCTCAGACAGGGGGGCCACCATCACCCCAGGGCAGGTCAGAGCCGGCCAGGACTGTCCGTTCCACCCCCTCCTCCGTGATGGCTGCCAGCCTGATGACACCCCCGCTGGAGCCGTCCCGCACCATCGCCAGGGCCAGAGCTGGGGGAGCACACGTCAGGAACCCCAAACCACTCGTGAGCCCCCAAACCACTCCAGAACCCCTCAGTGCCGCCCAAACTCCTCTGCACCCCAGAATCCCCTTCCAGGGTCCCCCCAAACCCCCTCTGTGTTCACCAAATCCCCTCCCAGGACAGGCCCAAACCCCTCAATGCCAGCCAAACTCCTCTGTGCCCCCCAAATTATCTCCCAAGCCCCCTCTCAGGACCCTTCCCCCCCTCCCAAATTCTCCAATATGCCCCAAACCCACCACGGGCAACAAATTCCTGGCACTGGGAGCGGCTCATCCCAGGCTGGAAGGTGGCATCCAGGAATCCGTAGATGTAGGAGCTGCCTGAGCCCCCCACAGCGAAGGGCTGGCGCAGGAGGAGCCCCCCCATGGGCACCACGTACACCTGGGGGGCAGAAGGGGGGCTGTAGGGTGTTGTGGGGCAAGGGAAGGGGCTGTGGGGCAGAAAAGGGGGGACTGTAGGGAAAAGATGGGGTTATGGGGCAGAAAGGGGAGGGGGGGGCTGTAAGGAAAAGAAAGAGGCACACTCCAGGGTGGAGAAAAAGGACACTCCAGGAGGCAGAAAGATGACACTCCAGGGCAGAAAGGGGAATGCTGCAGGGCAGAAAAAGGACACTCTAGAGCAGAAAGGGGAATATTTTGGGGCAGAAAAAGGACACACCAGGGCAGAAAGGGGAATGCTGCAGGGCAGAAGGGAATACTCCAGGGCACTACAGGGACGTGCTGGGGCAGAAGACAAGCGAAGGGAGCCCACCTGTCCCCCCCGGCGCGGGTCCCAGCCGGCCACAATGATGCCGGCGCTGAGCTCCTCGCGGTAGCGGTAGCAGCTCTGCTGGAAGAGGCGCGCGGCCGTGCGCACCCGCGGCGGCTCCTCCAGCTCCACACTGCGGGGCAGGGCCGGGCGTGGGGCTGGGGCTCACTGCCACAGCCCCGCCAGCCCTGCCCTGCCCCACGCCCACGGCAAGTACCTGTGGAAGGCCAGCTGGTAGGCCACGGCGTCGGCCACCGCCTGCGTGTCGGCCGCCGAGCCCGAGCGGCAGCAGAAGATGCGGTCGTGGACAGGCGTCAGTTTGTCTGTCACACGGTTGGCGATGTAGGCCCTGAGGGACACGGAGGCTGTGTCACCGTGGGGTGGCACCAGGGTATAGCAGCAGCGTGGGGCTACTGTGACAAACCCCCGAGGTGACGCTGCAACAGGCGGTGACACTGCAACAGGTGTAACAAACCCCAGGGTGACACTGCAACAGGAGCAACCAGCTGGAGGTGGCACCGGGGTGCGCCAGCAGCGTGGGGCTACTGTGACAAACTCCTGAGGTGACATGCAACAGGAGTAACAAACCCCTGAGGTGGCACTGCCACAGGTGTAACAAACCCCGAGGTGACACTGCCACAGGTGTAACAAACCCCCCGAGGTGACATTGCCAGAGGTGTAACAAACCCTGAGGTGACAATGCCGCAGCAGCTGGAGGTGCTGGGGATGCCCTGCAAAGCAGCTGTGGGTCCCAAAAAGATGCCAGAATTTCTCTGGGCTGAAAGCACCAGGTTCTGCAGGCACAGGGATTTAGAAATGTGGGATTTTGTGTGGTAGGAGCAAAAAGGAATGAGAGGAAATCCCTGGAAGCCGGGGATAACCCCTGGGGAATGCTGGGAAATGATTTACAGGATTACCGGGATGGAATCAGCTAAAAGAATTCAGGTTTTGTTCAAAGATCCGGGAAGAATTGTTACACAGAATGGAGCTGAGATTATAATAAAAATAGTGTGGGAAGTGTCCCATATTTTACTGATGAATCAAGGCTTTAATGACTTAGAAGGATGCAGCCCTTTGGATTGGGTGGTTTTAACACGGGATTTAAATCCAATTTTTATCAACAGGCTGGGTTCTGTAGGATTGAAAACTCCCCCTAAAAGAGGGAAAAGGATTTGGCCAATAAAATTTGGGATCTGTGGAGAGAAATCCAAAGATTGGGACCAAGAGGACAAACTGTAACCTGAGAATATTTTTGTGGGAATTATTCCACATAAATAAAGGATTTTTGGATGGTTTTGGTGATGGAAAAATGCCTGAGACAGCAGGAATTATTCCACATAAATAAAGGATTCTTGGATGGTTTTGGTGATGGAAAATGCCTGTGGGACAAGGCAAGGTGTGCCACTGACACCTGGGACCCTGCCCACAGCTTCTGGGGGTGGCCTCCCAGTGGCACCACAGTGACACCCCGACAAGAGTGACAATCCCATGACGCGGTCCCAGACCCCCGTGACGTCACTGATGACCTCACGGCCCTCGGCGCTCACCCGGTGGTGGTTCGGGAGTCAGCCCCTATGACGACGCCTCCGTCGAACTCCACGGCCATGATGGTGGTCTGGGGGGAGGGAAGGGCTGAGCTGAGACTCGCTGCCCCGCAGAAACCCCCTCCCACGGCACACCCAGCCCCACGCCTTTCCAAAGAACTCCCGGCCGCACAGCCGCTCTCCCCCTCCCCGCAGGCACCCCTCTCCAGGGGGGTCCCTCCGGCCCATATTTCCCTTCCCGCACTCTCCAGGGAGCTCCGCTCCCCTCAGCCCCAGCTCCACCCTCAACGGCGCCCCGGAGACCCTCTGCCCCACAGCCCGCCCTCTCCCCGCCGCGCCGGCTCCTCCGGGTCCAGGACAGGCTCAGCACGAGCCCGCAGCCCTCTGGGCGGCTCCTCCCGCCCCACTCACGCCGGTGCTGACGGGCTCCGCCGTCCATTCCCGGTGCGGCCCGGCGGGGCCCGGCGCGGCCCGCGGCTCCCACACCGTCACGGCCGCCATCTTCCGCCGCGCTTTACGGCGGCGCGGCGCGCGCGGCGCGGTTGGGGCGGTGCTTTACGGCAGCGCGGAGGGGAGGGAAGATGGCGGCCGCGTGCTCTTTGCTCCGCGGAATAAAACTCCGCCGCTTTTCCTCGGGAGTAAAACTCTGCCGTTTGCCCCCCACGCCCGCCCTGTGAAATACAAAGCTGTGTTTCCTGTCAGGTACATACAGGCAACGTGTGTATCTGTGATTGTGATATGTGTGGAAACTGACCGTGGGACAGCTATAAAGACAATTCTAATAAATAACTGAGGAAATAAACCATGGAAAAAGGCCTTGGAACCTATCCTTTGTTTACAGTTAACCTTTATAAGTCTTAAGTTGGTTTAGGAGCATTCGACTTAAAGCTTTAAGGATGTTGCTGTTTGACAGGAACTTTCTGCTTCTAGCTAAGCCTTAAAGAGTTTTGCAATAATAACCTTTTGAAGTATAATTTTAGAATATTGCTTGTAGTAAGGATCTTTGAAACTATAGCTTTAGAATATATAAAAAGGAAAGATGCTTATCTCAACGCCTTAATGAAATATTGAAAAGCAGCTTGAGAAAGGAAGATGAACATCAACTCTATAAAGGATTGATGGTTTCCACCAAGGGAAGCTGGACATCACTCTTATGAGATTTGCAATTAAAAGGTGGACCCATCTGGAATCTGGACCTCACCAGCCAGGAGACTTCTTTCTTCCTTCAGAAGCTGGACCCCCTCACCATCTGGGGATTCTCCTGTCTGAGATACATCCTGAGAAAAATTAAATCACAATAGTGTATAGCATTGTGACGTAAAAATTGGGAAGAGAAACTGCTGGAAAAGCTTATGAAAACCCCTATAAATATCTGTAAGCCCCAACTATCGGCGTGCAGTTGGAGGGAAAATTTCCCCCGCTGTACCCAGCGCTGAGTCGCTCACCCTTTACCAAATTAATTAATAAATTGATTGCTGCTTGGCCTAGTCAAGCTTCTTATTTATAACAGCCCCAAGCCGTGCGCTGACCCCCGGTGTGAGCAATGCTGGGGCCAGCTAGGGGGGGTTACCTGGGCACACCTGAGCAGGGGAGGGACAAGGGACGACTCCCAGGGGGAATCTCTCAGGGAAGGATGCTTGGAGCATCTCACAAGGCTGGGGGAGCACCTGGCTACAACTGGGCATGGAACATCGCTCCAAGGAAAATTTCGGCACTTCCTCATTTTAAGGGGTTCACTGGAAGGAAGCTCTGCCTTTCTCAGCATTTTAAGGGTTTTAAAATACATTTCAGGGCACTTCTTTCTATACTCAGGGACCAAATATCTCAGAGAAGGGTGAGCCTGGCATGTACTTAATAGCCTGGGAGGCTATTGTTTTCCTTATTTTTATTTATAATGTAGATGGCCCTAATTAGAGATCCCGAGGGGAGAGGGAATATAAATATAATGAGTATTCTTCTCCCCCATACTCAGTCACACTTCGAGTAGTACTCATTAGTCACAAAGGAATAATTATGTAAGTTAACAGCAAATTACACAATTTATCTAGCTACTCTGTCTAAACACAAGATTTCATTTCTCACCTGTTTTCTGCCCTTCTGCTCCAAGGAGATGCAGCAAAAAAAAACCTGTTGTCATTTCTCTGAGGAGTTTTCTCCTATATCAAACCCCTTATTCCTCCAGAATTCAAGTCAGAGGAGCAAAATGCACACAACAAATCAGAGGGCTTTTATACCGGGTGGGATTTCCCCACTTGCTCTTCCTGGGTGGCATGGGAATGAGAGGTTGGGTGGGGGAGGCATCCTGCAAAACGTGGAATCTCAGCAGGCAGCCGGCCACTC